GTGTTTGCCAATCGTGTGCCACTTCTTGCAGCACAACTCATCAAAATATCATCATTTGTCACTCATCATCATCAAAATGTCAGAGCTCAAAATACTGTATGCGACTTTATGGAATGTAAAATCAAGGCCACTTAGAATTCTGTCTTTATTAAACTGTTTAGCCCAATTGGTCTTCATTAAACTAGTAAGGGCCCAGCAGTGGTCAAGTAGTAAAGTTGCTGAACACTGGTAATTTAACCTGGGTTCGATTCCGGATAAATTGTCTGACTGAAGAATGTTTTTATGATTTTCCCTTAGTATAACATAGATTGATAACCTCACTTGGCAGTCTTCCTTTCTCTTTTGCAACTTTGGCAACTTGGTGACTTTTATTAAAGTATTAGTTTTGATTGCATTAAGTAAATTGTTATTTATAGTAAACTGTGGATTTTCATGTTTTCATACGCTAACGAGCAGAACTTTGGCAATTTGATAACATTCTCTGAATGATAACATTAACCATGATTGATTGAGCAACACCTATTGTGTTAATTTTTTATGTATTTTTATCACATGAGTTCTTTGTATTCTTAATTTTAGATTTTGCTGAAGCCCTGAACTTATTTTGTCTACCACAATGTCTCAGTTTTGTCTTAAGTGGAACAATCATGTTTCAAATATGTTAACCATGTTTGAAAGTTTGAAGTCTATGGAAGACTTTGTTGATGTGACTTTAGCTTGTGAAGGTCATTTAATTAAAGCTCACAAACTCATTCTTTCTGCTGGAAGTAAGTTTTTTCATAATTTGTTTATAACAAATCCATGTAAGCACCCTATCATTGTATTGCATGATATAAAATATAATATTCTTAAAGCAATTATTGAGTTTATGTATAAAGGCAAAATTTATGTAACTCATGACCACTTACAAGTTTTGCTGAAAACTGCTAAGACGTTAGATGTAAAAGGTCTTGCAGAAATTTGTAAAGATTCCAACAGGACTGAGAATCCAGATTCACAAGAGACTTCTCATCCATCTACTGCTATGAGCTCTATGACAGTGCCTCCAGAATCACCACCTCCTTCACATAAAAAAAAAAGAATTCGTTTGCGAAAACGGTCATTTGATTCCACCTTCAGCAATGATGAAATTGTTCCTAAAATTGAAGAAGCTTCTTCTCCTGAGAGCCAGGAACCAATTGATTTTGTATCAAACATTGGAGATTCAAGTAATTTATTGCCAAATAATATATTAACTATTCCTAGACCTATAAAGAGACTTAGCAGTTCCTCATCAAAGCCAGTTTCTGTGCCAGTGTGTGAAGAACTGGAAGTAGATCCAGTTACTGATCATGACTATAATGTGGAATCTTTAAAGGAAGAACAGACAAGCTTAACATCTGAACAGGTATAGTTTTAATTTTATTGCGTTTGTGTTCATTTATGTAATCTGTAATTTTAGTATTAATTAATATTCACTTATACTTAAAGATTGTATTTTAAGTTAATAAAATAATAGTTGCAAATTTTTTTTACAAATTCTTGTATTTGTGTATCAGTGCAATCATCTTGGTATAATTTGGCAATTTTTTATGGAAGAAAAAGCATGATGTCTCGTAAAAATCTATTTATTACATACTTGGCAACCTTATACGTATTTACTCACATATTTCCCCCCTCTTTTGATACTAACTTTACCTTGAGTAAAACTGGGAGGAGAAAAATACATGGTCTGTGCTATTTCTGAAAAGCTAGATGACTTAAATGTCTATATACTATATTTGAAAAGATGGTTTAAGTGACAAACATGACATAACACACTTATATTACTATAATAAAAGCTCGACCAGGAAAGCTCCAGAATGCTCGGGAAATGCTGAATTTGGGATACATGAAATTTCCGGATAGTTGAGCGCATACAAATGCAATACATAGCAGAAAAGCCACGTTAATGGAGAAAGAAATTTCCTGTCTAAAATTATAAAAATCATCATGTTTTTTTTATCAGCTTTGGTATTAAAAGCCAACATTTAAAATTAAGTTGGATTTTTGGAAAAAGTGTATTTCATCCATGTAAACTACGACATATTCATATAAAATGCAATGTATAAAATTTGTATAAAACCTGGTGTATTTCATCACCCTTCTCATCTGATTATAAAATACTTTATTCATGAAAGTTGGCAGAGATACCGCCAAACATGTGCAAGTCATTTCTAGTAGAAGATTATAGGAAAAATATTTTGCTTTATTTAATTAGAATCATCAGATTCAAATCACGGATATAGCATATAAAAAACTTAAATCCTTTATTATAATTTTTCATGTCACATCTCCATTGTTTAATCGCTTTCAAATAAAGTCGCTTATCATTTCCATTTGAACTCATTTTTCATGATATCAGGATCCCATAACTATTTAATCCATGTTGTTCCATAGAAGGGAAATCCAAAATTGTAACCATTTTCCAAATTCCAGGGAGAAATATGATAAATAACAGTTAACTTTTATTTTCTTTCAAAAATTAAACTAGCTTATTGAAAATTAATCTGGTTCACATAAAGCTAAGGTGAAAATTTTGTGATTGTGTTGTGGCATTCTGCTTTTATATTATTGGCACTGTATCCACACTATTTGCTGACAGTTTTTGTTTGCCGAAAATGGTCACTGGGAAAGTATGTTAAATACCAAATTTTTTAAATAATTTTAAAACTTTTGCCCGAATTGCATTTAATAAAACTGAAAAGGCTGTTACTTTAGTGATTCTCCACATTAAGTATACTAGCAAGTGTAATAATTGTAATAAATAAACTAATAGTTGGTTAACATAACATAACATATAATCAATGTTAATGATAGGACTGTATCGTTAACATTAGAATCTCTCATATGCGTCCATGCCATAGTAACAAAGAGCTTCTAATAAAAGTTCCCATTATAAGTTCTTTGATAGTAATTCCCTACTTTTCTTTATATGAGATTTGTCCTATTACAGGAATGAAGTCTTGGAACAACAAGATGGATACAACGATGGAGTTGTGTCTTTTAATTCTTTTCACGTTTTAGAAATTCTCAGCCCAATTTCAAGAGTTTTCTATGTGCTTTCTGATGGCTTAACAAGTCTCCCATTTGCTTAATTTTTCAGAAGGGAATTTTTCTTTAAAGGAACTGAAATTATAAAAAATTTCTAATATTTGAGTTTTTCAGTTAGTTGAATGTTGGATAGTCGGGTTTCAAAGGATTTTTCTATTTCAAAGAATTTATCAATTTCAATATTCTTTTTGATGACATAAAATAATTTCCTGTTTGCACACGCGTTTTACATTATTACCATAAATCAGAAGCTTCAAAACGGAAGGGGAAAAGCAGGCAATGGAGGAAATATGCAAGCAAATAAGGTATTTTGCATTCTGATTAGTTATTTGTTCTGCAAATCAATCAGTGAACCTATTTACTGCTATTCCCCCCACCTTTGTTCTAGGGAAAATTTTATGACAGTCGTTGCAAACAGATCCAAAGCATGTTTCCTTTAGTGATTTTGTGGCAAAATAATGTATTCCTATAGAAATTTTACATAACTTCTTCCATTGCACGTAAATTCTGCAAGCACATATTTTAAAATTGAATTTAATACAAAAAAGTATCACTATTTATTTATAAAAGCTGTTGGAATTTAGAATAGAGCAAAAACAGATGACTATGGTCTGAATATAACCAGAGGTCTGGATTTTTAACATTTTAAAATATCATCATAAATCTTTTAAACTGTTGATGGAAGGCAGAGAGAAATCAAATCTATTGAGAGATTTTTTTTGTCTATGTAGAGAAGTCAAGCAGGAGCTGAATTATTCAGGCTAAATGAAGATTTGTGTTTCGACGTTTCACTTTTGATCATACATTCCTATACAAACTGTGATTGTTACAGTGTATATGGGTGATAAAATTTCAGACTGTAGAATATCTTTGACCAATAGTCTGAATGTTGTACAGACAGTGAAATATTTTTCATTTTCATTACATAAAAGTACATGTGAAGCTTTTAAATCAAAACATCTTTCTGATCACCCTACTGGTAAAGATTTTAGAGATAATTTAGTAAATAACTGGACTGCTTATTAAAATTCTTTACATTCAGTGAACCATTTTTTTCCTTCTTATGGTTTGTCATCTACAACACATATTAATAGGTTGCAGCCTTGTTGCTCGTTGACATGAGAATGATTATTTTATAAATGAGATGTTCAATATATTATATTAGAAATGTCTTATGCTGTGTCACTGGTATAAATGTGTAGTAAAGTTATTAGTTAGGTATAAATTGTATCAAGTAGATAAGATATAAAGATTAGAAATGATTAAGAAGTGGGTTTATTATTTTAAATCACCCAGTTTTTTACCATGATAAGTAACATGTTGTTGTGCTGGAATGCTTTGTTACAGCTGTTAAGAGTTGGCACTTTTTCAAGCTTTATGAATCAGTGCTTATTTGCTATCACTGTTACTTTAGTATAACCTACCAAATTTTCAGCATGTGCTAAACTCTGGCAACTATACACATAACCATTTTTTAAGCACCCATACTCAAGAGTCCTTCAGTCCTAAAATGTTGCCATTTTCCTATGCTTTCTTTTTGTCGTATTTCAAGCTCCTATGGTTCTTATAAACAAATGGGGATATTTTTTGCTTTAAACTTAATTTTAAAGTGTACACTTGAGGAATTTGTCAGAAAATGGAGAAACGGCGGTCAGTTTCTGCTAGAATAGAGTTTTGTCACGGAATCTATAAAGGGAACAATGAGGATATGCATTTGGTGGATAGTGACTGTTGCCAAGGTTTGCTTGATATCGAGTCTCTGCAATTATTCTTTTGTTTTTTTACTTGAAGACAGATTACTGTGTATTTGGGGAAGAAGAATGGTAAAAAAAAAAAAAAAATTACTGAAAAATTTAGAGAAGAGTGTGTTTTATTTTTTAATGTTTATGCAATCTTTTTTACATAATTAAAATTTGCTAAAGGGAACACACTTTAGCAATTTAAAATATACTTTTAATTATATAAAAAAGATTGCATAAACTAAACTATGTATGGAAAATAAAGAATTTCAATACATAGTTTAGTTTATGCAAGCTCAAATCAAAGTTTTAATATAGGGGGGCTCCTATAAGTCCTAGACCATTTTAAAACAAAATTATTTATTTATTTATTAATAATATATATTTATTCTTATCTAAACAGAAAACACACTTCTTGGAATAAAATTTAATTACTTTAAAAAATTACATCATTTAAATAACTACTATTTTGCTCCTCACACTGATGTGTCCTTTATATTTTGATGTTTGCCAGGTTATGACAAATATTGATAATACTTAAGTTCCCATGAATGATTAAAAGAATAGCATAATGTAATGTGATATGTAAATAGAAAGTCTAGTGTACAGATATTTCTGTTGTCAATAAACAAACACATTAAGTTTTTAGAAAAGTATGCTTGTAACTTAGTCTTTTTTAAGACCTAAACTTAGTTTTATTTATTTATTTATGTAACTATAGATTTCCTCATTTGTTATATTAGTTCTCATAAAATATTGAATAATTTGTTTTCAATGAAATGTCATCATTGTCAGCATTCTAGTCCGATTAATTACTTAGAATATTTTCCCTTAAAGGATGGCACATACCAAATAATTTTCTCCAAAATACTGGTTTTCAACCTTTCCCCCCATATAGTATATCCCTTTCACTACTGCTAGACAATCATTAACTTCTCTTTTCCAAAACTAAAGAAATATATATACATTTATTTAAATTTAGATTATTTCTTAATGTGTTTTATAAATTAAACAAGAAAAATATAGAAAATCTTATAATACCAAATTTTGAATAAAAGTAGAACAGGTAAATAATCAGCTTAACAGGTAAATAAAAATCTGACTGAATCTCCCTTGGAACTGTGAAATTCCGTCCTGGTTGAGAACCCTGCTGTAGAAAGATATGTATGCTAACTCGATACGTTTAATGTTAAAACATGCTTTTATTTATCAGCTTATTTGGACTGTGATGGTTTTTTTTTTTTTTTTTTTTTTTTTTTTTTTTTTTTTTTTTTTTGTAAATATAAAAAATATGTCTCTTACATTAGTTATTTCAATAAGCAAAAAAATAAAGTAAAACTTTGAAAACTTCTTGTGTGACTTGATTTGAAAATAAAAGTATTATTGTAAGATATAATAACAACATAGCTGGCAATGTTGGCTCATAATCATTCATCAAAAAATTTTATGGTGCACGCTGCAGAAGAAAAGAAAAGCAGTTAACAGTTATTATAAAAATATTTCTTTCAGTATGATTTTAATTTATTTAGTTATTCTATGCTATAAATTTGTAGACTGCATTCTTGTATGAAATATGCAGTGTTTTGATTAATAAATTATATAGATGCAAGAGTTATATAATAAAGAGTGACTCAAATAATATAATAAATGTAGTCAGACTTCCACAACTTTAAGGAGGAGGGAAAAATATTGAGTAATTAAAAAACTGACATTAATTTTTAATAAAGAATTTCAATACATAGTTTAGTTTATGCAAGCTCAAATCAAAGTTTTAATATAGAGTGGCTCCAATAAGTCACTAGACCATTTTAAAACAAAATTATTTATTTATTTATTTATTAATATATATTTATTCTTATCTAAACAGAAAACACACTTCTTGGAATAAAATTTAATTACTTTAAAAAATTACATCATTTAAATAACTACCATTTTGCTTCTCACACTGATGTGTCCTTTCTAAGGAGTAAACTATCACCATGTCATAATGTTTCATGGCTTATTTCTTAACAGATGTTGGCCTTCAATTGTTGAATGGTTATAAGGTTGATAGTGTATTTTCTCTTTCAAATCCCCATTGAAAGAAGTCTGGAGCAGCTAAATGAGGTGAGCGTGATGACTCTTTCAAAATTTTAGAGTTTTGTAAAATTATTTTTAAGAAATTTGTCTTAAAAGTTCGGAATTTCTAATTATTTGCTCATCTTTTGGAAGAAGGTTATTTCACAGAATTCTTAAATCAAGTAGCGGTGAAGCTCACAGGATTTAGCTGCTCTAGACTTCTTTCTGTGGGAGGGGGGAGGAATTCATGAACGTAAATATATTTTCAACATTTCTTACCTTTAATTTATTTTTGAGTTATGGTTTCATTTAATGCATTTTTCATAACTGATATGTCGTATATCAGGACACATGTTGAGATTTTGCATCTATATGGCCCACGACAATGTCATGTGCAATTTAATCTACTGTGGCGTTTCTGTGTAATTTTAATTTTTTTCCTGCCATTTTTCTAGAGTGCAGAGTTTACGTTGATGCGGCTTTTCTTCCGGAAATTACGGTATATAAGAAGAGAGTTAATTATTTCTTCAGATGTTTTTGCAACTTTGCAGTGGTTTCTTTTTTTCCAAAGAATATGGTGCAATTCTGTAATTATGCTATTTATTACCCTAATCTCAAGTTAGAGAATGATAGTAGGTACCCATCGATGTCAAAGTTGACATCTGTCAAATAAACATTTAGTGTTGTATGATGTCAAATTGACAATTGTCATATAAGTATTTGGTGTCAAACAATGTCAAATAAACATTTGGTATTTGACCCATTTCATTTTTGTTCATTCATCAATTTTGTTAGATCCTTCAGTTTTCCCAGAAGGTCTGCTTAGAATGTTTTAAGTACAAACTTTCTGTAAGTAATTGTTTCTAATCCATTATTGTTTTGTTGGCCATATTCAGCTGTTCATTTCCCCTGTTTAATAGATGGTAATTTTCTCAACCAGCTGTAAATGAGCTAGAGTGCAGTCACAAATGTTGCATTGCCATTGTTTATCTGTTCTCAGATAAAGTGGCATATCACGTCCATTAACAAACATTTTTTTTTTTTTTTTTTTTTTTTTTTTTTTTTAATGGTAGGATCCCATGACTTTGAAAATATCCACCTCTTGCATTTTTATAGAAGGTAGGTCCTAAATTTTAAATTTTGTCAAAATTCAAGAAATCAAGAGCAGTAACAGTTAACATATATCCTTGCTCATAAAAATAAAAGGTAGTTTTTCCAGAATCAATCAAAATTACATGAAACAAAAGGACAGATGTTGTGAACATGTTGTTAAGTCACATTTATCCATAATTGGCACTAAATTGCGCTGCTTGGTGACAGTGTCATGGTCAACAATATAAATATGTAGGTACCAGAAAGTATTTTGAGTAAAAGAAAATTCATTTTGAATAATAGGTAGACAAAACTATGCAGGAAATCTTAACTTTTCTTCAACCTGGTCAGTAAAAATAAAAATTGTATGATTAATTTATTAATTTTTGAAAACAAATTATGTAAAAAATTATTATTATTAATTTATTTTTATTTTTCAAAAATTAATTCATTTTTTTTCATTTTTTGAAAAATAAAAATTTAATTTTTATTTTCAAAGATTATTTAATTGTATTGCAAATATTTCTATGTAGTTTTTTATGAAGGTTTAATATAATAATTCTGGTATAAGAAAAAAATTACTGGAGATATAGTTCTTTTAACATTTCATTAAGGCAGGTATATCAGTTACAAATAAGAGTACATTAGCATGTAATATTCACAAATTCAGTTTATTTTACAATTTACAGTATTGATTTCATTTTGTATTTTTTTGTAGCTTGAAACATCTTCAAAACATTCAGGTGAACCAGTAATACATAACATTTCAAGTTCAGAATCTGTACCCATCTCTGTTGTTCCTCCTTCAGACACTTTAAGTTCAGTGCATATCTTAGACCAGAATGATTCAGAAGGTAAAGTTTAGTATTCCTTTTATTTTTTGACATTAATCTTTACAGCATAAGTAAGGCCCATTTTTCTTCTATCAAAATTTATGTTTTAACATTAAAAATGATGCAAGTTTTATTTTATGTGCAGCTTCATGTTTTTTATATTGTTCCTAACTTATGTATGAGAAGAATCTGAATCTTTTTTGGTTAAAAAAATTTTTGTGAAAATATGTCATTATAAATAACAATCAAAATTTTCTGCTGATGTTAACATATTTGTCATTTTTTAATGATATACAGAGTGCTGGAAAAGTCACCATGCGATTTTTACTCATATATATTACAGAACTACTCTGCTTGAGTATGAACAATAAAGGTCATGAGTCTGGTTTCAAAGAACATGCTCAGTGTAATCCTCTTCAAATGGCATGTGTAGATGAATATGGTCTATGACCTTTGATGGTCTAGTGTTTTTGATGGTCTAGTGTATTATCCTTACTCCAGTATCACATGTTTTGCCTATTTTCTTCTGCACTAATGTAAAGCACAGCTTCATCTGAGAAGAGATGTTCTTGTGAAATCTGGGTCTTGAATCTGCATTCCGACATCCCATTCACAGAATTGGAATCTGCAGTCGGGATCATCTTCAGCCATATGATGGAGCAATTGCTGATACTTATTGCTTTTAGGGATGCTATTTATTTACTTTAAGTATTTGCTGGTTTCTTTGATGGCTTACTCTGGCTCATTTGAAAGTTGACATGTACTCTTTAAACCTTTCACCATAGATTCCATAAATGTTGACACCTGCTTCAGCAGTTGCAGATTCTTCCGCATTTCTTATATCCTTACATTTAGCTATCACCTTAGCAACAATGTCATGTGGAATGGGATTGCAGACCAGTTGTTGAATCAATAGGTAATCTGTGAGATCAAATTTTAACCCACAAGATTTACATCTTTTTGTGGGCCAACTTAACCACAAGAAGATGTACATCTTCTTGCGAGCCACATTTACATGTTCTTCCCAGGATCATCAGCGGTATTCTTCAAGCTATTAAAAAAAGAAAAAGAAAAAACTAGAAGTGTAAAACCTTTCAAACAGCGAAGTAAAAAACATGATTGAAACCTAGGAATGGGAATGTAAAAGACGATATCAGCTGGTATAATGACTTTGTATCACCTTGTACAATTAAAAAAAAATAATAAATGTAAATTTCGTATATGTGAATGCTTAGGGAAAGTATGAGACTTATGGCATTTAGCGTGTTTCAGCGACACTGGCCTCGAATACGAATGTAAGACAATGAAACCTCCAAAATCCATCTTAGTCTCGCATAATGAGTCTTCAGTTAGGACACATGTTTCTTTGCTCTTTTTCTGAAATCAGTTTTATGATGTATTAAGTGACACTTATATAGTTAACATACAGATTTGATAATTTGAAAATTCTGAGTTTTAAACTAAACATGGTGGGCAGTAATTTGTTATTGATTTCAGTTGATTAACTAAGATTTTCTCAGCTACTCCTCAGTCATCTTTAGATATGAGATAGCTGGTAATTATTAATATGTGGAATCACATCATTCAGTAACTTATGAAATTAAAGTGGTTATCTCATATGCTGCTGTGAAACCTTAAGCCCAGTGAGCCAGTTATTCAAATATTTTATATTGAATTCTGGATTTTGCAAGGCTTCTCACTCTTAAATTCCTCTGTTTTATGTGTGGAACATACAATTTTAGAGAAGTTCTTTTAAAATTTGTAACACTTTTTCTATTACTGGTAACCCTTGTATAACATTATAGATAGGTTCCTAGAAAATGCCGTGTTGTAAGAGACCCAGAGCCAGTATAAAAAGGGGGTTACGTTCCGAAAACTTATTAAAAACAAATTTTTTTAATTGTACATAAACAACTTAATTTTTTATTAAAAATTTATATGTATGTATAACACAAAACAAAAAATATTACATATTTTAACACAACTTTAGTTTAATAAATTTCTTCCTTGTCATTGCTCAGTATAATCAACAGGGAACGTTTTTTCGGTGAAAGGAGATCGCTTTCACTTTCAGAATTTCTTTCTTCATTTAAAGTTCTGGCATTTTCTTCGCTCTTTAAAAAATCTGTAATTTTACTTTGCTTACTAGTTCTTACCGGGTTGTTTTAAATTTCTCGGTATAGAGCCAGACAGTTTTGCAGCTCCCTTTTGAATTTTCAGCTTATTTCAGAGGAAGGGTCTGCACTCAAGAAAAATAACTCGAGATTTTCGGCTAAGCGTAGGCCTTCTTTTGGTTTTTTTAATGTTAAATTATTAACTTCACAATCTTCATCAATGGTAGTGTTCTCAGAATCAATTTGATCTACAACTTCGTATGCCATTTCTATTAAATCTTTGTCAGTTTCTTCTGCTAAGAAATCTTGAATGTCCTCAATAGCCATGTTCACAAAATCTTTGCCTCCGATTGATTTAGCATTTCTAATATGCCACTAATATCGTTTTCTGACTATTCACGCATGTTTTCTATTTCAACTGAAGAGGGCCATATCTTCTTCTAACATGCATTTAATGTCAATGTTTTCAGTTCTTTCAGTGACAAAGATGCAATATCAATTTAGTTCTTGATTGAAAATGTCTTCCAAGCTTCCATTACATTGATTGATTTTGAATCGATTATGTCTAAAATCTATGTGATATGCTCTTCGTATGTAATATGCTTTAAAGGTATAAATGCTTTCATCCAATGGTTGGAGTAACGAAATAGTGTTAGGTGGTAGGAACAGTATTTTGACATTAGAATGATTAAAATCTTGTGGATGACATGAAGCATTATCTAATAGTAATAAATGCCTGCCTTGAAGCTCAATTTTTTCTGCCTTGAAGTAATGTTCAGCGTCTGGCACTAAACAATTTAAAAACCAATCTTTAAATATATTCCCAGCTACCCAAGCTCTTGGATTTACTTTCCACTATACCTGTAAGGTGTTTTTATGTACGCTTTTAAGTACACAAGGGTTTAAACATCTATAAACTAACAAGGGCTTTGTCATAAAGTCCAAAGTCATACTGCACAAAAGTAGCGTTGGACAATTTTAGACACCTTAAATCAGGATGCAGTTTTCTCTTTTTTCTATATGAACATTCTACTGGGCATCTTTGTACCCATCAAAGCCCAGTTTTGTCGGCATCAGAAATTTGGAACTGCTGTGTATCCTTGTTCTTCTATAATATTTTGAAATTTTTCAGGAAACATTCTAGCAGCTTCATAATCAGCCGATGCAGATTCTCCTTGAATTATGCTATGAATTGCAAAACGCTTTTTGAAATTTTCAAACCAACCTTTACTTACCAGAAAATCTGGCTTGACAGAGGGTTGGTTCTCCATGTTCTTTGATGTGCTTGAAAATTTTGAGTGCTTTTTATTTAATGATATTACCATTCAACGAAATTCTTTTTTTGACAGCTATCATCAATTCAAATGCCGAATGCATTTTCCATCTTCTCAATTATTGGCGCCCCCGGGAGCAAACTGCACATTTTGCGGATGTCGAAGATCCTGCAGCAACTACACTGCTTATTTCTTTTTCATTTTACTTAATAGTCCAGACTGTTTCTTCATTCCAATTAAAACTTTTTCCAGTGTGAGATGCCTTTTTTCTTTTTAAAAGACAGTCCAAGATTTGTATCTGTACTTCTAAAGAAATGAATTTCCTCTTAAACATTGTTTTTTTTTTTTTTTTTTTTTTTTTTTTTTTTATTGGACATGTTTGGAGACTGAAATTTAATGTCTTAAAGATGAAAAAGTTATTCTTCAACACACCATGGTTTGATACAGACTGCTGACCAGCAGTGTGAGACACTTTTGTTTTCAGGCCATGGAGACAAGGATTCAAATTTTGGGAGCCAAATGTGCTGGATGTGCGTTTTAGAGCACTTGTGACTTCATGTTGTTAATGTTTTATGATAGTGAAGTTTCTTCATTGTTATCTGGGAACATTTGTTCATACAGGTCGTCTGAGGACATTTGTTCATCCGAGGAAATTTGTTCTTACAGGTACCGGATCTTGGAAGGCAAGTGGCAGAACTTACGAAACAAAGATTCTTACTTGTTAAATGACTATGTGGGTGCTTTGCACTATATGGAAAAACTTTGTACGGAGTTGTTAAATTTCTTCGGATTGCTTAGGCAATTTTCTTATCGTGTTAGAGCAAAATTGTGTAGTAGGAGGGTTCTCGCAATTTATGAATCATGTTATAGCGAAACCATGTTACAGGATGTCGTGTTGTAGGAGGGCTACCTGTGTCTAAAACTTGTTACGTTTATGATCACGAATTCACAATTCTATTTTTTGTAATGCATATAATTTTATTTCCAATGGTAGACAAAAGTATATATACATATGTACACACGATACAACAAAACAGAGAATAAGGAAGCCTATTTCGTGCCTTCCAGTAACAGCCACAGAGATCCTGTAAAAAGAGTGTATAAAATTCTTTCTCTGCTGCCAGTCACGTGACCTAGTCAGCGACAGACGATAAATAATAAAAGACAAATTGGCTCCATCAGAGGGTAAAGAAATAATTTCAACAAACTCCCCCCCCGATGAACAATAGGTTCATCACAAATTTAACTAACCTCTACAATATTACTATAAATATAAGAAACAAATAAAAATTACTTACATATGCAGGTCACATTATATCAATAATTTCTTAATACCAAGAAAATTTTTTCTGAAACTATAGAGAAAACAAAACATTTAAATTAACATTTCTCATGATCACCACAAATCATTAAACCAAGGAAAATAATAAAATGAATAAATGAAAACATTAGGAAAGAATATTTTGTTTTGTCTATCATCAGTTTATCAGTCATTCAGTCTATTTTTTGACCAGTTACTGATTATTGCAATTACTGATATCATCAATTTCTAAATTGTACAATAGCTGCACTGGACGTTTGATTACCGAATTACCAGTTTTCACTTCACACGATCTGATCATTCCATCTCTAC